CCCCCATGCCCCTTCCCTCCCCTCCCCCCTCCCCTTCCACCACACCAGACGTACCAGCTGCACACAGCTCTCCACACTGCCGGGCTGTGCTCCTCGCTGCCTGTATGCTGCACTGTGGCAGCATGCAGCATGGGCATTTATCGGCCAAATTATCAGCCACATCTGGAACCTAAACCCTTATTTCCCATAGACTCTTGGTATCTTTTTACTCAATTTCTATTTGCACGGTGTTTTTTCAAGAACATAACTACCGTGTAAATCAAGGCCTGACTGTACTTGGGGTTTTTTATTCTATTTTCAACAGAAGCATACTTAATTTCTGAGATAACTTATTGGCTGTATCTCTCCTAAATTCTATAGCTATTTATTAAAGCTAATGCCATTTTCTTGTCCAAGTATTACCTCTTTAATTACACTCTTCCTTTACAATTTACAGCACTGCTGAGCACACTTGGGGAAATGTAGTGTTGTTCAGTGAGTGAAAAATGTTCAGTTTACTTCCATGGAAAAGGACCCTCTGTATCTTAGTAATAGAGAGAGGTAATCAGCTACTGTTAGTCTCAAATCAGACAGGTTGGCACTTTATGGACTGGTTTAGAGAGCCATAAGTTTTCATGGGTGACAACTTGCTTTATTAGCAATAGATTATGCCGTTGCCTGGAGAGTGTTTATGCACACTGCCAATCCCCACGGAAACAGAAACAATGGTGATTCTGAAGCATCTGAATTAATGAGTTGCACACAGTCACTATCTCACCTTACATGCAGGCAGGTGGAAGTCCGAGCCCCTTTCTGCCTGAACTCTTTTGCCTGAAATACTGACGACCGTTCACGTTGCAGAAGAACAAGGGTGGAGGAGCCATTTACTCTTACGTTATAGGAGGGAAGGTGGAGCTTGCGAGACAAAGAAACATGTTTGCATCCCAAGGAGACGTAGAGGACCTGTTTCATCCCATGGGGAAAATGGAACAAAAATACTCCAGTAAAGTTCTTGTTGGAAACTGGTTTGAAGACAGGCAAAGGGTAAGATGGGGAAAGGAGGAATAAGGAAAGAGGGGAAATAGCAGTAGAGGGGAAGAGGGAAAATAGGAATAGAGAAAGTTGGAATGGATGCTCTGGAGATGATAAACCACCAAACATTGGGGAAGTTGGGATTGTGACCCATCTTAAAACAGGAACAAAGGAGGAATGGCAGAAATCAGTTTACTAGCCTGCATCCATTCATCCTGGTCAGGGGCTGGCAGTCTTCCCACTGAACCGGTACTGAAGCAATGCCCAAGTATGAAGGCACAGTGTGGCTGACAGACATCATACAAGTTTTGGCTATGTATTTTCCCATGGTGCTTTTCCCAGGGCTCGGTGTGTTAACTTCCAGTGTTTCAGCCCCGTTTCTGTTAGGTAATTCCTTTCTGTCTGCCTGAGATTTCTTGGTGACCACAGATGCATAGGAGATGTTTATCTCTATATCCTGTACTGTTAATAAGCTCTCGTCTTTCCTTCTCAATGGTTTTTAAGTGGTTGTTGAAGGGACCCCCATACCAACAGACATTATATCACCTGCATCTAAAAATCTCTCAAGCATACTGGGTTCCTTGGGTGAAAGAAGTGTCATAATAATACTTCGTTATTTTTCATTTCTATTATGCTGTAGCATACTTCTGTGTTTCGCTGTGAGAGTCATGTGCCTTGCCAACTTTCCATTCTTTTAACATTTGCTATCTGTCTTTGTGAACACCTTTTTGGAAAAAAAACCCCAAAATAAAACACAACAAAAACAGCTTGTTTCATAATGGTACGTCACAAACAGTTCTGGAAGGGTGCAATTCCCAGTTTTCAAAAAGAAAATAAATACATTTAAGTTTTACTGGGTAAGATGGTTTGATAACTGGAGCTTTGTTAAAATGGTAACACCCCAAGTCAGAGGTCTTTTTAGACAACCTCTTTTCTTCCTCTCCACACAAATTGCATGTCTAACGTAGTTTGCATTTGTGTGTTGGGTTTTTTTTAACCTTCAAGAATGAAAAAAATTGTAACTTGTAAGTGCAACGTATTGCATAGAGGACAATACCCTAGAATATATGCTTCTCGGGGCAAGGCTCTTCTCTTTCCTATTTCTGTATGGTCTTACCTCCATGGGTTCCCATGGGAAAAAAATAATATTCCCCCACCTCTAACCTCCAATCATCTCAGAGTGATACAGCATTGGCAATTTAATACACAGAAGGCAGGGTAGATTTGCAACTTCCAGACTAACTAAATCAGAAATACATCTAGCATAAGCTTTTGTGAGCTCAAGCTTACTCCATCAGATGCTGTGAAAGGATGTATGTAGAGCAGTGTATAAAATGGAGAGAGTGATCTGAATACAGAAGGCAGGAAGGGAGGGAAGAAGGGCAGTGCTGGGAGAAGTGAACATGCATTACAAGACAGAGAGAGGCCTGGTTACCTCTCCCGCTTCATAAACTAATACCTGCAACACCCCATCTATTTAGCAAAGGTACCAGAGGACCTGCAAAGGTTGTGGTTGTTGTGAATATTGGGTTTATGTCGGGTAAACACCAGCACTTCCAGGAGCCTGGTAGCCTCCTATACCATATTGGTCGTAAGGATAGCTGAGCAAAATATTTTCAGAATTATTATTTTTTTTTTTACCAAACACACCTATTCCTTTCAACAGAAGTGATTCATGAATTTATAATTATTGCGAGACTTAAGATTAGGCTGGATAAATCTTAGAAAGTGTATTGGTAGGGAGTAACTCTGAACTGGTGGGAGATGAGCAAAGTACCAAAAAGAGTGAAATCAGCTGCTCTTCTCCCTCTCCCTCTCCCTCTCCCTCTCCCTCTCCCTCCAATAACTAATCCCTGGATTACAAAAAAAGCTATGACAACAAGCCACTGCAGGGCCTGTATTTTGAAGCCCATCATGCATTTACACACAAAGGATTTCACAAAGATAGGTTACGCCAATTGATTTTAATACCCGAGACAGAGGGTTAAGGAAGGCTTCAACAAACAGCAAGTATTTCCCCAAGTGACTCTAGAGCCACATCCATTGGCTTTGTGGTTATTTTATTGACAGCGGTTCTGTAGACATCAAATTAATTTCTGCTTTGGTGGACAAGCACAAATGAGTTCAATGCCCAATTTCAATGCCCAGTTTCTGTGCTGTGAAAATCTCCCACAAGAGGCAATCCTTTTGACGCTGGCTTCTGGTCTCTTGGTTCAGCCATTCTGAGTGTGAATAACCCAGATGCAGTGTATACCTCTTTTTCTAGCCAACACAGGAATTTACAAAACCCAGCAACAGCACCTACAGGACAGACTTTGTTCGCTTCCCATTCTCCGCTCCAGACCAAACAGTGAAGAGAAGTGTGATGAAGAAACTCGAAGTAAGTGAAAGCAGTCTCAGATTGAAGGATGGGTGGGTCAGTGCAGAAAAGGGGAATGAATTAAGAGTTACAAGGTTTAAAAATCTGCCCTACCTCCTCAAATATGTACGTGCCCAGGGGGAGGGAGAGAGAGACAGAGGCAAGGGGACCCCAAAACCACCCTGGGTGCTTCGGGCAGGACAACGGCTTGCAGAGAAGGGATAGCACATGCTCTGCAGTGCCTGCTGCCGACAGTACCCCAAGTGACAGAAAGGAGCATCGTCTCTAGTGGGAGAAGGGGCTGGGGGGTGGTGAGAGGAGTACCATGCCATCAGGCCTTATGCAGAGTGCCGATAGGGGTCCTGCCCTCCTACAGCAGAGATGTGCCAGTGAAAAAATGTTCTCTGTTTCATCATTGTACCACACAGGAAAGGCCTGTGCCATTAATGGGATCTAGATTCAGCAAAATGTTAGCTATCACCCAACCATAACCCCCTTATAAAGTCCCTTCCGCAATATCCCCCATCCCAGACTTCTTAATTGCTCCCTCCAGAACGGGATGAGAGCGAGTGAGCGTGTTCACATATGTATGTACATGCTGAGACATGTCAAGACATGAGTAACACAAAAGCTTTTCAACTGCAAAAGCCTGAGTCTGTGTTCATGGTAGGAAAATACGCATGACTGCCAGACATGAGCACTTGACTCGATCGGGAATGTTCCTGATTGCAAGTGCAAATGCTGGGTTTTATTGGGCCCAGGTACCCAGGCACTCCTTACTTTATCACCTGTGGCATAATCTGATCCCCCTAATCTCCTCCACCTTTTGAAGGTCCTGCACACATACTAGCCACATGGCTTTGTTCATATCTCGTTACAGGGCCTGCCCAAGAAGTTTCTCTTTACCTGTGATGAAGGACTGAACAACCAGAATCTGGTTTCAGAATATGATGATCATTACAACAGACACGGCAATCCTGTGCTGCCTGCCTTCCGCAGATGGAGTCGACACAAAAATACCTGGATGCCCGAGAAATCAGATTTCCCGACTCTTGGTAGTTTTCTGCATTATCTGTTCAGAGATAGATTCAGCTTGGGTTAATGGTCAGTGCCTGAGACCTGAAACAAGAGGAGCCTCTCTTACGTGCAATTCTGCACAGGCTTCTCTGGATGTAAAGCTCTTACCCACTTCACGGCTCTCTTTCCCATTTGTAAAAGGGGAATAATCATAATCATGACAAGTAACACTTCACAATTACCAAGGGAGGCTTGTGAAAACCTTTCCTTACATAGGCAATAGGACAACTGCCACTGAAGGCAGTGGCTGACATGGGGTATAACTGGCAGGGGGAGAACTTAGCCTCTTCATATTTTTCCTTGAATTTTAAATTCACTGTAGGCCATTCAGTTCCTACTGCATAGGAACCATGCAATCGATGTCCCACCCAGTGACTAGAGCAGGGAATTCCCAAGACTAGTGTTTGTTCTAGTCCAGGTTTGCACAGAGTTGATTAGGCATCTGTTTGACGCCCTTGCAAACTTAGGACAATTTTTTTTTCAAAAACTTTAGATCCTAAATCTCATTTTCCAAAGACATGCGAAAACTTAGAAGGGTACATCTCACCTCATGATGCAGTCACTTTGGCTCCTAAGTCACACAGGAGCTTTTGAAAGTTTCATCAACAGTCCCATAAGCTGTTGTAGTTGCCCAGCATCACTGTGAACAACGGAGTTCAGCAATACATGTCCAATCTGCTACAGTCTCCACGGCCCGGAGATGCTGTGCATTTGAGTGAGACCAGAACTCTACATGGGTGTGCCGTGCTCCCTCGTTCTTCAACAGGTAGCAGGGGGCTCTACTTTTAATCATCTATTTTGAAGGCAGGGGTCTTTGAATGTTGTACTCTATTGACATGATGCTCCAAATGACCTTTATATTCACTGTGCAATGAAGACCCCAGTGATCAAAAGGTTCCTTCTATTATCTTTGACATTAATGTACTTTCTCTTCTAGAACCACCCACCAACTATGGCCTTTCTGGGCTGCTGTGGAAAAAATGGACCCAAAAAGACGGACCAGTGAACAGTGTCTATACCGTTTCCTATGAAAAACCACCTGTTTCTGCTTATCCCATTCACCAAGTCAGGCATCAGGCCTCAACCCAAAAATTATCTTCCAGCAATGGGCAGTGTGTTTCCCCATAACCTCAGCCTGGAATATGATGGGGCAGCTGGCTGGAGATGCTACAGTAATTGATGCTTCAGTGTAGGCTGCTTATAGTGATATAACTGCAACTGAAATACAGCAGGTTGCTGAAACACCTAAAATATTTTGTTCCATGTAGCAGAAATGAGAATGACAGCACTCCATGTGTATCCTCTAAGAGTGGGGCATGGAGTGGAGGCTGCCTGGATGATATTGCTACCGAAAGCTTGTTGGAAATCTTCCATACTTGAGGACAGGTAGTAGCCTGGTGGTTCAGGGACTCAGTGACAATGTAAAAAACTAAGGTTTAAGGCCTTGATTCATGCCAGGAACCTGAACTTCAGTCACCTACATCCCTGGTTCAGGCATCAGCTTTACCTACTGCTTACAAAAAGCTCAGCATTTCCCACTATCTCAGCACGCCATACACCGATGGTAAAATCTGAAAGGGGATGCTTTCACATTAGAGTGAAGATAGACCCCCATAAGTGCAGTATGGATAAAATCGGGAGCGGGGGTGCCAAACTCAAGTGAGCTAGTGGGTCAGATGCATACTGTGTAGCTAAATTTGAGTGAACTAATGGGCCAAATCCATACCATGTGGCTTCTTTGAGGCCAGGCAATCTATCTCTGAATCTGGCCTGCAAGGCTCTTCACTGCAGATGCCAGAGCCTCTGCATTACTGCAGCTAGCACAGAGGGTGCAATAATACCACTGCTCACTGCCTTTCCACGGTTTTGCACACCAAATGGTCATCCAAACCTGGAAATGTGGCAGCAAATAAGTGTTAATTCCCTCTCCCTCCTGAGAGCTGGCTGTCTCAGGAAGCAGCTATGTTGGCCAGTTCTGGAGGGCGGTAGTCCAGACCAAGACCAGGTACAGACATTACACTTTTACCAGTATAAGTGATCGGAAATTGATCTATACCCATAACAGAACAGAAGTTCAGCATACATAGACTGGTTTAAAAATGGCAGAACCTGGTTTAGGATTGCCTAGGGCAAAGGTGTGCTCTGTTCACTACTGATCTAAACGATGCTACTTACAGAAAACTGTGCAACTTAGGTCGATTCTACCTCAAGCTTTTTCAATACCTGTAACTTGCTCAAGAGACGCTCATGGGCCAGATGACCCATGTCTGTGGGCTGGATCCATGGGCCCATATGCATCAAGAGCATCTTTGGGCTTCTCACATGTTTTTGTTGCAGGCAACTGTCTGTAAAGCAAGTTTCAGGATCTTTGCTCGCCTCCATAGCAGGCTGAGAGGCTTAGCGCTTGGAGGTTGCTGGCATGGGAGTTACATAATACCCCCCAAATATTCAAAAGAAATGAATCAACAGGGTATCAGTCAGGCTGGAAAGAAGCCCGGATGCTTAGCAGAGAAAGTATCAGTTTATGCTTGAGCCCAACTCATGTTTACCAGGATGTCTTCAAAACAAGGGCAGAGTTTAATGGTTTTTATGTAGCATTATAACCTTTCAGGATGAATGGGATTTAACTCCAGTTATCCCTGTGTAGATTATATTTTGGGCAGCCAGTTACACTAGGTAGTAAGCCTAATTTGGGGTGGGGGCAGAAAGAGATTTCCTGCCCTATTTGCCTCTGTGAAACTTTTTGTGAAAGTGCTTGCCAGTACAAGAAAGACTTGAACAATCATATTCTGTAAGAAGCAGGACAGGACTCTGCCATAGGCTCTACCGCGGAGTAGGATTTTACGCTAGTGGAGTAAAGGCTACAACGATGCGGTCATCCGTCTTCTTTCAAATTCTGTATTCAGGTCCCACGAACAAAAGACCTCTCCAACAGTAACAGCAAAGCTGAATATTAGTTGATTATTTAAACAGAGTAGAAGAGAGAAACACTCCCTTGATTTTCCTAAATTGATTTGCAAAGTTTATATAACTGGTGCGTGCAGATTTGTCCTGTTGGCTTGTTTAAAACAAGGTTACACTGTTTTCTTTTTAAAGAAGGAACAAAATCAAAGCATGCAGCTCAGTTTCTATATGCAGCTTACAAAAGAAAACTTACGGTATCAACAGAAAGATTAAACAAGAGAAAATCTTATCTCGATTTCTTCCACAGCTAAAGATTTAAGTAGGCGGTAGTCACAAGCTACATGGAAGTTTCAATGTCAATAAGGTCATAAGAAAGACAAATTATACAAGCACCAGTTATAAAGCTGTATATACAAGTTATAAAAAATCCAACCAATGTATCTTGGCGAGGTTTTACAATGGTAGGTTTTACAGGTTTGACATCTCATTTTAAACAATATGTCCAATTTCTATTATTGTTCACCGGAAAGTAGAGGTTCAGCGATCACAGACTTTGAAATAAATAATTCATTATAATAATGCCAAGTTGTTTCAGTGTTACTGAGTAATGTTTTCCTATTGAATATTTGCTCTTTACTTACAGATAAGCCCTGCTGCAAAATTCTTCTTAAGATTCAGAACATCTCAAATTTCAAAGGTATTTGAACCAATGGTGTTCGTTCAACCATTACAGAAAAGGGGATTAGCAACAAAGTTAAGACCAGGGTCTGGGTTTTGATTCCAAATTCTCTCTGAATTAACAGGTTGATCAAACCTGACATTTAAGGTCTAAATTCCTGGATGGAAAGCACTTATTCTGTTATCTTTTGAAGGACCTAAGGAAGCCGGTCAAAAGTCTATGCAGCTCCACCCTCCTCTTTCTTGTAGGAGGCTGAGCAATTTGCAAAGAAGCAGAGTTCAAGTACAGTATTATAGAGCCAATACAAACCAAGCGTGGCTCTGGATTTGATGATCTCCAAAATGCGGAAGTGTTTAAATGCAGGGCTTGCTTCAGCGTCATTATTTAAGCTTCCACCAGGAAAGTGTGTTCAGTGTACGAACATGCTGCCACGGGCTCCGGCCCAACTGTTGGAGATGCTGCTGTACAGCTCGGATATCTTACTCTAGGAAGATGCGTACATCTAATTTGGCTTGTGTCTGTCCTCCAACTTCCCTTTCACATTGGTTCCTACATCTTTCTTTTGAGAAGCTGAGGACAAAGAATTTATTTTTGCTTTGAAATATATCCAGCACCTCTCAGGCTTTCTATCGATGTGCCAATAGAGAAGGAAGTCCGGGTACAAGGTGAACCCGGATTTCTCCCATTGCAATAGGCAAACAAACTTAGGATCATAGGAAAGTCGGGCTGGCAGGGACTTCCTGTTCAAGGCAGGATCATCCTGGAGTAAGGCATCCCAGCCAAGGATGTGTCCAACTTGCTCTTGAAATTTCCCAAGGATGGAGAGTCCACAACATCTCTAGGTAGCCTGTTCTAATGCTTGATCACCCACATAGTCAGAAAGTTTCTCCTAATTTCCAGCCTAAACTTCCTCCATTCCAGTACAAATTTCCCAGGCCTTTAAACATCCATGTTGCTCTCCACTAGACTCTTTCCAATCTATCCACACCCCTCCTGAAGTGCAGGGACCAAAACTGGATACCCCAGCGGAGAACTCAGCAGTCCTGAATGGGACAGAAGAATCACTTCCCTTGGCTTGCAAGTGATGTTCCTGTTGAAACCCAGTATGCTGTTGGCTTTTTTGTAACAGGAGCACACTGTTGGCTCCTATTCCTTTTATAGTCTACTGTAACCCCCAGCTCCTTCTCTGCAGTACTGCAGCCTAGCCACTCATTCCCCAGTCTGTATTTGTACATCCCATTATTTCACCCCAAGAACAGCGCTTTGCACTTGTCTTTGTTGAATGTGTAGGTGTCTGTGGCTTTAGTTCATCCACGTTACATGAGAGACAACCTGCAAAATGAGCTTCGTGGCCAGGCTTTATATTACCAGACAAGGAAAACCCAGAAGAAATCATAGGCATGACCTTTCTGCTGCTGTATAGGGCACCTTGCTGCTGTTTTCAATTGTTCACGAGCATGTGAATGAACTGCTGACAGGCTGCTGGTGCAAGTCCTAGCTCTGGAATTGATTTAAATGCAAACTTTGCTTATCTATGCACACCTGACTCCAAGGGGAGATTTTAACCCACAAGGAGGTTCAGGTTGGGTACAAACTGCTCCCTGAGGCCCACCAATGCATTTGCAGTTAGTTGAATGTTAAAATAATGCCAGGCAAATACTCATTTTACATCCACCCATTAGAACTGCCAATCAGTTCTTTTCCCAGCCAGCCTTAGAATAGGATCCATTTATTTCTATTGGGGTTTTTTGCCATTGCGGTCATAAACAGCCCAACAGTGAAGTTTATTATGCAGTAATATACTTTTAATACAGTGGTGGTAACGAAAAATGACTTTGCCCACTCCTGTTTTAAATCTTCCCTGCTTGAGATTAGCAATACTGGATCTGCTCTCAGACACGTGCTTCTTTTAAGGGTTTGAATTCAATCTTTGCACAGCTGAGGCATTAAAACTTGAGCGGTGCATAGATCAGGATGGTGCCTCTGCACAGGCATGAATTTTATGCTTTATAATTAGAGCTTTGTTTCTTCCAAGTTAAATATGATTGATGTCAGAAATCAAATTTGAGCCAAATCATGCTCCTTTGGGAGCAAAGATCCATGTGTATCGCAGAACAGTGACATCTTGTGGTATAGTGACTATTTCCAACCCAGGCAAGCGTACCAGGCTAATCAAATAAAAATGTATAAAAGAGAAGCAGGTACAATACAGGTCTGTTCTAGGAATCAACTAGCAGTGCTAGCTTCTCTTTTGGAAGAGGATTGAAGAATCAATTAAGTTTAACACGTCCTACTTCACTTCTGAATCCTAGAGTCAGACTTCCACAATCTATATAAATGCAAACTGCATGCAAGTAAGAGTCTAAAAACAGTTGTTGGCATACACCTAGCACGACTTTGCACCATTACATCCCTTGAAAATCTACTTTATGAGGAATCCAAAAAGGACCCTTCAGAGAGCTGAGACTTGGCAGTCCTGGGAGTTCTGCACCTACAAGAAAAGTCTGACATATAACTGCAGATTTCTATTACAAGGGATTTATAAACCCAGTCAACAGCAAAACTGAGTTCGTGCATTTGAAATGCCAGTTAGGCACACATGCAAGGATAGCCTTCATTACACCCTGCTTGCTTGGAAAGCTAGACCTCAATCTTGTGTAAATATTAAATAGTAATGATAAATGAAACATTCATGATTATCTGCAGCATGTCTAAAACCAAAGCTCACACATGGGGAGAAATGCCCAGGTTGGTGCACTGGGAATTATGAAGACACAAGTACATCTCTGTGAAGCTGGCTTGAAGAATTCATTCCAGTCCTGACTGCTGAAAAGAAATTCCTTAATATCTGAGTTGCTCCTTGGACATGCTTTTACTTGTGTTTCTTTTAAACCAAAGGAAAAACCCATGAAGGAACCAAAGTAAGATCCCGTTAGACAGAACGCAAAATGTGTCCTCACATATTGGGCTACATTGTGCAGTCCTGGCTGGGCTCCTTGCAGCATAAGTGCGAACAGATAAAATTACTTATCTTTTTAAAATGAAATGACTAAACCACAGAACTCAGAAGATTTGGGAGTACTGCTCTAGATGTGTATGGGCAGGAGAGACAAATCAATGTTAGCAGTAAGGAGTTGCCCTGGCTTGAATAGTGCTTCCTGCACATAATCAAGGGTCTGATCTGCTTGTCTGTGAGATAATTTTAACAGAAGCTAGAGTTGTGTAAGAAGTCTACGGTAAAGTCCATATCCTGGTGGTTTATTGTCTTGAGTCAAATATACAAGCATAGTGAATTATACCTTATTTGCAGGGGTATCTAAGTAAAAATACACACCAAAAACTCCCACCTCCTTCACCATAGGATTTAAACTGTTCAGGAAAAAAAGAGGCTTGTATAACACAATTTGTGGAGGAAGAAAGGAGTGAGAAATGAAATGTCCACAGAGAGAGAGATGGACTTGAAATGGAAACTGAAAGTCAAATATCTGTAAACACTGGGGATCTGAAATGTGGCTCCAGTTTTGTAGTTTGAACCTACCACTATTAAAATGAACTGCCGGTATTAAACTAACCTCACTCTGGTGCTGTGAGGCTTAATGTATTAACATCTGAAGAGCACCCTGAGACACCTGAATAGCAATCACTATAAAAGAGGATTAATTAATGGCAAACCATGAATATCTTGGTAGAACATCTTCAGTAAAACTTCAGTTTGTTGAAACATGCCATATTGGCAACCTGGGATCATTTGCCATCAACGTGCCAATTTAATGAAGCTGTCCTCAGGATGATTATTTTCAAAAAAAAAGTTGAATTGCTCATGAGCAGAAGAAGTGAGAAAAACCCAGGCTTGAAATTTCCAAGTGTAAAATGTGTCGGGTATCCAAGTTGTAGCAGTATTGCTCTAGAGGAAAAGGCAATTGGGACACGTAGTAGAGATGCTCTACTACGAGTCCTGATTGCAAGTGTATGTAACCCAGGCGGTACTCCAAGAGGTCACCCCTCTCCAATTGAAGGGATCAAAGCAGGTGCCCAAGAGCTGTGGGAGATGTAGGGACTCTCCTCCCCCTATAAAGCAGAGCCAGACCACCAATGGGGACTTAACCATATACCTTTTAATACTGGGAACATAACAGGCATAAATCAGAGGGTATAATGCCCCAGGGAGACAGGATTCAACAAAGGTTAGACACTTACAATCATTGACAAAAAACAGGGTTAACAAAATATAAAACACAAACAGCAGAACAGACAATACAGGTTGGTGAAATATAAAAAGGCACAAAATGCAAAATGACAAGGAAACATAGGACCTTGGTACCTGGATGGGGAGAAAGCACAATGGCCCCTCTCCACTGCAAGAAGATTTGCTCCTTGTTATCTCACCTCAGCTGGGACTTGAACCCAGATTTCCCATGTGGTAGGGGGAACCACTGCTCCAGCTTGCTAGGGGTCTTGACCTTCCCAGAGCCCTGGCCTCATGTTGAGCTGCCTGGCCTCTGATTGGAGGAGCTGGGAACCCCTCGGATCACTGCTCGGATCCTTCCTGGAGCCGGGGGAGCCTCTCCTGCCGGCCGCACACTGCACTGCTGAGGGTCCCACTGCTGCCTGCAGGTCCTGCTCTTTCAGGCTCTTCCAGCGCATCGCTCCTGTCCCACTGGCTCAGCTCTTGCCAGCCCTGTGAAGCTCCTTCCTTGTTGTCCCTTGCTG